ATATTATTAACATTTTTAAAATATCTAATTATATAATTCATTTTCTTTTATATTTATAAATTTTTTATTTTGGCCAAGTGGACAATATTGTGATTTACTATATTGTCCATTGGAGACAAATTTTTAGAATTAAAGTTGTGAATCTAATAATTATCTTATTTAGTTTGCAATCCATCTAATTAATTGACATTTGTAAAAAAAATTATGAAATAACAACATTCATGCATTGGAGATGCTCTAATGGCCGAAAATTGCGTCAGCGGTTGACGCACTAACTCGTACATAGAGAACTAATGTCCAATATTCCTTTTAATTAAGTTTGTATATATTTACACTAGTATAATATTCGTGAACTACACGGTGTTTGAGAAAAAAACATAATTGTGCATGAAAGAATAAAAAAAAAAAAAAAACTTTTTTTGAAATAAAAATTATAAATAATTTATAATAAAGTAAAAGAATTTGTAACTTTATTTTAAAATCTAAAAAATATTTTGTGAAATATTATTTATCTTATTTAAGATATAATGCCCGTAAATAACATGAGTGCGTTAAAATAAAAATAAAATATTTGTATCAAAAGAATATAATGATAAAAAATTAAGTATAGAACTAATAATAAAAAAAATTTATTTAAAATAATATCTATATTCTACACTTGATTTGTCAAAATGAATTTTTTTTTTTTAATATTACACACCCAAACACACACATATGTATATATTTATATTATATGAAACTCAATAGTTTTATTTTAAGTTATTTAATTTTCTTCTATGTTTGATTAATATTTAATATACATAATTTTCTTCTCTCATCTATTATATATTTAAATATTTTCAAAGTTTTAATATTCAATAATTAAATATAATGTGTATGGGTGTAATACTTTTAAAACTTTTGATTTATAATAATTACTTTTATAATTTTTAATTATAGTTACATTTCTTTAATTTTTGATATCGTTACAATGCTCAATCTCTTTGTAGTCTTTATTTAAGTTGAGATGTTTTAAGAAAAAATAAATAACATTTGTTTTATGTTCATACTTACTTTATAAAAGCTCTTTTCAATAATTACATAATACATTTATTTTAATCTGTATATGAGCATAATTTTGGTAACAACGGAAATTGTCAAAATAATGAACTTATTAAACGATAACACATCCAAAAAACCACCAAATTTTACAGATCTCAGTGTTTAAAATACGAGTTTATGTTAATTAATATACAGATAGGATGCGTAGAAAATATAGCAAGTACAAAAAAAAAAAATGCTCAATATATAAATGTGGAACTCATTTAAATTTATGGCAAGACTTACTTAAACTAACAATCCTTCACTTTCTCATAACTTAAAAATTATTTATAATTTTAGGGAAAAAAAAAAACTTAGAAGTGTAAGAAAACTAAGAGGACTAATGGTGGTGTATTTTTCATAGAAAATAAAGGAAGCATAATTAATAAAATTTGTGTGGGTGTGTTGTATTGTGAAGTGGTGTGTAGTCAGTAAGATTGAAGATTTTAGCATCATCAATATCATCAACATCAACATACCCAGTATATTTCCAAACAGGTTGGGGTCTGAGGGGTCAGTTGTACGCAGACCTTACCCTTGTAATTATACAAGGAGGCTGTTTCCGTAGCGACTCAGGGTGCATTGCGTCGTTTGATATATTTTTTTCTAGAAGTTTCACTAATAGAAGAAGCACTAGAATTGAATTGAGTCATTTTGATCTAGTCTATTATTTGCACTATGCCAGGAGAATTGTCAACAATGACTCTTCCAGCTCAATTTGCAATGGACATAAGATTGAAGATTTTAGATTTAGTGAAAATATTTTTATATTATGTTAGACTCAAATTTTTATATGTAAAAGATAATTAAAAATTAATTATGAACAATATTTAATTTTTTAAATTTTGTTTTGTGAATCATATTTTATTACGAGTGATAACACATCAACTCAAATAAGTTTATTCTCCAAACAGTCAATTTTTCAAGAGTTGGGTAATTCAACTGGAGGTATAATATCCAAGTCCGTGGTTGATATAAAAAATGAGATACTCTTGAAGTCTTGATGTGAATAGAATGTACTAACTCACTCGGCCTTGGTGTATTTGAGTTGATGGAAAAGACAAAAAATCAAAAAATAATGTTGAAAATTTATTGTTAGAAAATTACACAGTTTGTTTTAAAAATAAATAAAACATAAAAGGTTGCACATATTTATTACCAGAAATTCTATGGCACCATATGTGGCACCGTATTATGGTGCCACAACATGATGTGACACATTACACTACACAAAAACCTCTTACGTTTAGACATGGCCACGGGCCGAATCGGCCCGTGGCCCGACCCGTGAACTGACCCGGCCCAGAACCGGCCCGGCCTCCTAAGGGCCGATTCTGTGAACCGGTCCCGATGGTGCCGTGGTTCGAGCCCGGTTCATACACTCTTTGTTTTTTACCCGACGGGTCGGGCCGGGTCACGGGTTGTCTTGCTTTTTCCTTTGGATTTTTAAGGGTCGTACCGGCCCGGAACCGTCCGAGACCCGTCAGGTTGGTGAACCGGCGGTTCCGGGCCGGTTCATAGAACCGGCCCATAGATTTTTTCGGGCCGGTTATGGGTCATAATATTGTGGCCTGGCGGGCCGGGTCGCGACCCGCCACTTGGCCATGTCTACTTACGTTCCAACCGAAATTTTCCGTTGGAATAATCTATTCCAACGGATATTCCTACGTATAAAAATTCTAGGAAAAACGGTCGTTGGAATAACTAAAATCTAACGGAAAATCCTATGGAAATAAATTCCTTCAGCTATTCCAACAGAAAAAATCCGTTGGAATTCCCCAACCATCCAACACTTTTTTCCAACATAAAATTAAGTTTGTTGGAATATTCATTGGAATTTCCAACGAAAATTTTTGTCGTTGGAATTTTTCGTTGGAATTGAAGTGTTTTCTTGTAGTGTTATGAATTTGAGTTATTGAATATTTTAACAAATTGGTGATCTCTGTAAGTTTAATATTATGACTAATAATTAATAGTCATAATATGTTATTATTTTATACTTTTTTTAAAAAATAATAATATAGTTAGGAATTAATAACATACACATAAAAAATATTATAACACATGTTAAAACAAGCAAAAATTAATGTTCTCTTATTTTAATCTTTAAAAATTATTTACTTAAAATGATAATAATTATTCAATATCTTATAGGTATGACTGTTATGAAAATATTCTGCAAATATTTTCACATAGAACGTTGTACAGATATTTTTAAGGTGGATTGAGTTTATTATCTACATATAT